TGCACAGCACATTGAAGATCAAGTTGCTCAGATTTGTCAGGAATTGGACACCACAATTAACACAGTTCCATTAGCAGAAGCTTCCTGAGCACTTCTGTCTCTTTTTTAATGGATGAGCTTCAGATACTGAGACACAAGAAGTGGAAAAGGTAATTGGTTAAGTCCAGCCCACTACTTGCATGCTCAACCCTTGCCCCTCATGTCTTATTTCAACAATTAAGGAAAGAATTTCTACTTGGGCAATGTGGGTGTAAATGTCTCCTTGGGAGAAGGAGTGGTGCCAGCCTCCCTAAAAGAGGCTGTAATTAAGCAGCTCCTGAAAAAGCCTAACCTGTACCCAGAGGGTATTAATAACTAGAAGGCCTGTGGCCAACATCTCCTTCCTGAGCAAGGGACTTAAGTGGGTGGTGGTTGAACAGGTCCAGGCAGTCTTGAATGAAATGGATTATACAGATCCATTTCAGTCAGGCTTCAGGTCTGGTTTTGGAATGGAAACTACCTTGGTCACCTTGTGGGATGACCTTTGTGAGGAGAAAGATGTGGGGAGGGTGACCCTGTTGATTCTCCTGGAGCTCTCGGTAGCTTTCAATACCTTCAACTATGGTATCCTTCTGGACAGGCTGGCTGGGGTGGGAGTTGGAGGCACTGCATTGCAGTGGTTCTGTTCCTAGTTCCAGAAGATGGTGCTGAGGGATTATTGCTCTGTGCCATGACAGTTGTGCCATGGGGTCCCAAAGAGTTCTATTTTATCCCTTATGCCATTGACATGTAACTACTGGAGGAGGTTATCCAGAGATATGAGAGACCACTAATATGTGGGTGACACTCAGTTCTACCTAGCTCCCTTTTTCATCAAACCCAGATGAGGCAGTAGCTGCTCTCAGTCAGTTTCTGCAAATGGTAATGGATTGAATGAGGTTCATCAAACTGAGACTCAATCCAGACAAGATGGTACTGTTACTGGGTGGTTCACCTGTCCAGTTTGGTGATACTCAGTTCTCGGTGAGGTTGCACTTCCCTAAAGGATAAGGTTTGTAGTTTGAGGGTGTTCCTGGATCCAGAGTTGTCACTTGAGGCACAAGTGAAGTTGGTGGCACAGAGCACCTTTTTTTCAGCTTAAGCTGATACACCATCTGGAAAGAGAGAGCCTAGCTACAGTTATCCATGCTCTGGTGGCCTCTCATTCAGATTACTGCGATGCACTGTACATGGGCCTGCCTTTGAAACAATCCAGAAACTTCAACTGATGCAAAACAGGGCAGCAGGGCTGTTCATGGAGACTGGCCTGTAAGAGCACATTACACCAGTCCTCTCGCAGCTGCACAGGCTACCAGTTGAAGTCTAGGCCCAGTTTAATGTGCTAATATTCAAAGCCTTAAACTGCTTGGGGACAGGTTATCCAAAGGAGCACATCTTCCCATATGTACCTCTGTGGAACTTGAGACCTTCTTCAGGGGTCCTTCTCTGGGAGACCCTTCCAATGGAGGTGAGCTGGGTGGCTACCAGGAGGAGGGCCATTTCCATTGTGTCACCTCAGTTCTGGAATGAACTCTCCCAAGAGGTGTGCCTGGTGCCTACTTCGTATTCTTTTTGGCGCCAGGTGAAGACCTTTTTATTTTCCCAGCATTTCAACTGTTTAATTCAACATTGTTTTTATATATTCCATTTTATTCTGTACTGGTGCTATGCTTCTATGCTGAATAATAGGAATTGCCATTTCTATTATGGTTTTCTTCTTTCAAATTAATTTTTGCATTGTGTCTTTTAAACTTTTGTTTAATTTTAACTTCTGCTAATTCCCAGTGACCTTTGGCTATTTAATTTTAATAATTAATTTAATAAAACATTTTTATCCCATCTTTCACTAAATGTCTCAAGTCGGCTTACAGAATATAAAATCAGAATAATAAAAATAGAATCCATAATACAATACATAATAGAGTATGATAAGTACAATCAGTACTAACAGAATACTATCTAAATAAGCAAAAGAGAATAAATCACAATCATAAGAAAAAGAAATAATAATAGATAAAATAATAAAATAAAATAAAATGTGCCTGTTAACTTTAAAAATCTAAAAACTCTAATTCTTAGAATGACATTTAAATAAAAAGGTTTTAACCTGGCCCCGAAAAGAATATAGGCTATTGGGCAGTATAAAAATGAAATTGACATACACACTTTCCCCCTGCCATTCCAAAGGGGAAACTGTCACAACAATTAATACTTTGCAGCAAGTTCTACCATGTGCCCCTTTCTTGCAGACATGTGTGGGGTGCTCCACCCTTGTACCTTCATCACAGGGTATAACCGCACACCAGCTTTAAAGATTCTGCTCCCTGCTGTTGAGTAGGCAAGGGAGGAAAGTGTTCAGACAAGGTGCAGTGTTCACAGTATTCCAAAAAAAGGAGGGGACAGGAGAGATAGAAGAAACAGTCACTGTTTCTGAACAGTCACTGAAATTGTACCTTTAACAAATCCCCTCCTTCCTTGCGTACCCGAGTGGAGCACATTGTCTTGGCACCCCAGTTGTTGGAGTGGTGTGGGAAGCTTGTAGTGGCAGTTCTAAAGGAAATTACCCTTTTAGGAGTCTAAACAGTACAAGACTCCCTGTTATATTATGAGGCTAAGCTGCTTCATACAAACTACCCTTTCTCCCCATTTCCCCGTCACCAGTGTTCTCCCCCCACTGTAGGTTCTAGGTATGCACAACACATGCTGGAAAGCTACAGCCCTATTGCATATACCTTATCACTTATGTGAGCAACTCCCTGTGTAGTGTTTATAGGCTGCTGATGTGTGCTGATTGGGTGTTGTGTAATGCCATATTTTATGCACAGTCATTGTGTCATGGATGAGCTGGGTGTCCACATAGACCAGTGGTTAAGGGTGTTGGACTGGGACTCAGGAAATCTGGGTTCTAGTCCTCATTCGGCCATGAGTGTCTCTGGGCCGGTCACTAACTCTTTTGGCCTAACCCACCTCATATGTTGTTGTCATAAGGATGAAATGGAGAGGGGAATTTTGTAAGCCAGTTTGAGTTCCTTATAAGAGAAAGACAGGGGAGAAATTAGTATAATGTAACAATAACAACAGTGGTTTTTTTTAATCCCTCCTCTCACTGGAGTCAACGAAAAACAAATGCCTTGAACCAGCTCTGGGATTGGAGTGAAGTTGCGCAGGGGCCTGGGCAGGACACAGCACTCGTGGTCTCCCCTCTGCTGTCTACCGCCTGCCCACAATGCCACCATTTGGGTCATTATAGGCCGAGTGTTCTGCTGTCACCTTTTTCGGATTGGTGGCAGCAGCATGCTTGATTCTCCTCTGATGTGGCAGGGATTTCCCCAATTCCTGTCACAGTAGTGGGAGCCAATAGCACACATCCAGCCATTTGGCCCACATCCTCTCTCCCACAGCTTTCTGCCACGCACAAACATGCACACATACATAGCAGTAGGGCTCTTTTTTCTTTTTCGTCTTTAAGCTCTCCTTGTTATATTCGTTTAAAAGTCCGACTGCTACGCAGACAGGGCATAATTTTCGGGAGGCTGCAGCAGGAGAAAAGGGTTAAGCCTCCCTCCCCACAAGCTGCAATTTCCCCCGCCCCCGCCCCCACGTAGCAACGCCTTAAAAAGAAGTTTCCATGAACAGCAATGGCAGCGTCGTCGTCTTCTTTTTTTCCCAAAGCCTTAGAGCCGTGCGGGGGCGAGGAGGTAGCACAGCAGACAAGACAGCTGGGGAGAAAGAGAGCAGCAGCAGCAGCAGAAGAGGGCGACAGAGAAGGGATGGGGTGTGGGGTGGCTGCAGCCCCGCTCCCCACTGGCATGCTGCCCGTCTGCTTTCGGCTCCAGCCCCGCCCACCTCTGGCACGCAGTCCTGGGCAGCTTTCTACCCAGGGAATGCAGCCCGCGGCGGGGAAGTTTCCTACACGTGCTGCAATACAAGCCCCTCAGTCAGCAGATCTCTAGTCTAGGATTGCGCTCTAAATTTCTCTGTTCCAAAATAGCAACATTTTCCGCATTTTACAAATTCCGTTCCTTCTGGAAAGCTGTCCCCAAGCGGAGCAGACGGTATTGTGTAAGTGCAGTGGATAAGCTCCAGGATTAGGAACAGACGGGAGTTCACGCTCACTATCCATCTGCAAACAAACGCTCTGAGTACAAGAGCCAATCCATTGAAAAATAGCTACCCTTGCAGATATTTATCTACCTTTAAAATAATTCCGATTGCTTTAATTCGCATGTATATTATGCCTGGAACCGTTTACTGTTGCAAGACTGAGAGCACGAGCGGTACAGTTGTCAATGCCATTCTACACAAAAGCCATAATCTCTAATGGATTTGGGCCCTTGCTCCAAAGTTTTGGGGTCACTGAAGACTTGACATTGTTTAGGTTCTGCTTTGAAGTTCCAGTACAGTGACCATTGCTAAACTCTGCGGGCGACAATGGGAGTGTCTCAGCACAAGGCTTCACAACCTTGGATCTTAAGGTGATTTCTAGTGAAGTAAACTCTATTTAAATGGACAAAATTTAATTTCCCAGTAAACACAAACAGGATCCGACTTGTTGGATGGCTATTTGCCAAATACTGAGAGCGAGCCCGCGGACTTACGCACACACTTCTCGTAAACGTGCATAAACGTCATTAAGTTGCAAAGGGATAAACACGCCATTGGATCTTGAACTCCTGCGTGTCTCTTCCACAAACACAGAGCACGTTCAAATGTCATTCATATCTAACCAACAGAATGCCCATTCTACAATGACATCAGGTTAGACTCCCCCCCACAATGAGCTTCCTAATGGCTGATACCTGCGAAGGACAGGAAAAAAGACCAATAGGAATGGCAAGAGAGAAAACCAGTAGGATAGTAATGACAGTGCATCGCCTGCCAATACACCGACAAGTCCCGCCCTCTGAGGTTATCTGGACCAGTAGCAGCTGCGAGGGCGGTACCAACGGGGACTCCAGACTCTGGAGTGGGTGTTGCTGCTAATGGAGAGGGCTGGTTGACGGCGCTACGCGTACCGTTGGGGGGGAGGGCGAAGCGAGGAGGGAGGGAGGCACTCAGCCTCTGGCGGTTCCTCGTCTCCCGTTGGCAGAGGCGGTTCGGGCTCACGAAAGCGGTGGTGCTTCGCTGCAGGATGTCGGAGTTGCGAGCGATGGGAGCCGGCCCAGGAACAACGCCTGGCGGACCCATAGTCTCCGGCCCAGGAGGGACCTGCGGGCCTGGTCCGGCGACCCCGCTGCCTTCGCCTGGACCTGGTGGCGGAAGAACCGAAGGCAGCGGCGCAGGAGGAACACTAGGCCCTGGGGGCCCGGGACCGGCCCCAGGGGGGGTGACAGGCGCTCCAGGGGGGAGTTCTTCTGCTTCCGCTTCCGGGTCGGCTAGCTCCACTTCCGGAGCTGCTCGCGAGGGCTGGCTTTTCAAATGGACCAATTACATCAAAGGGTATCAGCGACGCTGGTTCGTGCTGAGCAACGGACTCCTGAGCTACTACAGGTGAGGCCACGCCCCCTTCGCTGTTCTTGGGTAGAGCGGCTGGCCACGCCCCTTTGCCTGCTAGGTCATGCCCAGGATTCCTCCGGAGGGCTGTGCGCTCTTGCCCTGGGACCTCTGCCCCGCCCCTTCCGCCCTTGCCCCGGCCGTGGGGTGGGTGGTGCGGTAGCAGCAGCCACGGCCAGAATGCAGGCCTTGCGCCTTTCCTGCCACGTGGCGCGAGGGCATCGTGCCTTAGCCACGTCTGGGGAAGCGTCTTGCGTCAGGGATCGTCCAAATGGCCAGACCTTGAATCCAGCCTGGTGCCTTGCTTCACCACCGCCTCCTCTCGTGGGGTGAACAACCTGGTGTCATTCCTGTGTATGGACCCACACCTTCCATTACCATTAACCATGTTGGCTGGGCCTCACTGAAGTTTTAGTGCAACACATCTAAAAGGCCCCAAGTTATTGGCTTCTCCATTACATTGTACCTTTTTTTACATCTCTAGGGGAACGGGTTTATGGATGCTTAGACAATAATGAAGGCATACATTTCCCAGCATTCCTGAGTCAGAATGGTTCACTGGGGAATGCTGGGAATTTCAGGAATCTTTTGTGTGTCTAAGCACAAAAAGGATTTTTTTGTGTGTCATACATAGGATCGCACCCTAAGTGGTTCTTCTTTATTCCTTTCCCCCTTCTCACTTTTTATTGCTTCCTCTCAGCTCTGAATAATATTTTGTTGCTTGCTTTGTGTCTTCATTCTAACCACCCCAAAGGTGCAGGTCACCCTCATTGTTTTGCAAGATGTGGCTTCTCTGATGGTGCTGAATTGTTCAGGACTTTGTTTTGAGATTATCTGCAATATTACCTTGTTAGTGTGCGTGTAGGGGAACCAGTCCAATTGTGAATCACAGTGTTGTTTGTAAAATACCTGTGAGCAAGATGTGGCAGTTACAGGACTAGGGAATTTTTAAATGCTCCAAAGATAAAGGTTTCAGTGACAGTATTAGCTGTGGGATCCACGTAACCAGGAAAAGAAGTGCCTTGCAAAGATCCTTAGATTCCTTCTAGAAGGTAGGACCTCTGTATAAATTTTCTTTGGCCAACACATCCTAGCTATTAGTTTGTTAGGGCTGACAACCAGTGTTGCTTACCTAGAAGAACAAGAACTCTGCTGTAGCTGTGTGGAAGTAACAGTTTCTTAACCTTATTGCATTACAATGTTACGGAGAAAAAAACCTGAATAACTCAATATTTTCTCCTGAACTCCTTAGATTTTGTGAAGGCTTAGAAGGAGATGGAACTACAAATATAATAAATCTAAACAGTGAAGTCTTTCCCTTACTACAACATCCCACTTGCATTAGTTCGCTGTAGATGGGCTCCCCAATCCATCAATGCTTAGCTCATCTTCATGTGATTCAGCTTCCGCAAGAGTCTGCTAATCCAGAAACAGATAGCTATCATTATGCATATGGAGTGCTTCATAACTTCCAGGGTTGTCTTGCCTGCCTGCCCCACCCATGTGTTTTCACATAAATAATCGTGTATGTCATTGCAGATGAAATCCAACATCTGCAGGTTTCATCTGCTTTCTTTCAAATCTTGTGTGCTTCCCTATGTTTCTACATGCTTTTGTGTAAACTGGCAACTTATTTCAGTTAACTGCATTTTGGTCAAAAATTAGGAAGATTGCCAAGCAGCTCATTATAGAATCATGGAATAGTAGAGTTGGAAGGGGCCAGAAGGCTATTGGGTCCAACCTCCTGCTCAGCACAGGACTCCCAAGTTACACCATCCCTCTTAGATTAGGCAAGGAGCATCCGGAGAAAGATTAATTAATTTATGACAGGGATGAGGAGGCTGGTAGTCAAATACAGCTCTGCTGGGGTCTAATCTGGCCCTTAGGAGTTCCCCAGATGGCAACGACCCCTTCACCTGGTCCCACCCCCTTCCCCCCAACATTGTTTGGCATTTTCCCAGCTGTTGTGCAGTTTTCTCTCATACTAAAATGTGGAAATGCCTCTTTTAAAGGTTATTGACTGGCAGGAAGACCTTTTACCTCCAACAGGCGGGTGTTTTTTTTCTCAGTTCCACAAAACATGATTTTGGCCCTTTGGCTGAATGAGTTAGTGAAAGCATTTTTTATGAGTTACCATACTGATACAAAGTAATGGTATTTGTTCTGATTTTCTTTTATTCATCAGTCTTCCACGGACTCTCGTGCTCAGGGTGACATACATAATATAGTAAAATCATATTTTTATTAAGGTTTTTTATTTGAAGATCATGCTGTTCTTTAACTTTTCATTTCTAGCAACATTTCATTTATAGTTTCTCTTTTGCTTAAAAAACTAGTTTAAAAGGAAAGTGAATTTAATAATGCAAACAAGTTGAAGTCTTCATATAATCAATCTATTACTATCTGTTGATCACATACAGTTGGGCAAAGGTATCCAACATTTAGATATTACACAGTGTTGTGTATGATGACCTCCCTACTGGATTCTGGGGCTAGCAAATTATTAGAGGATTGAGTATCTAGGCGATAATACTCTAATACTCTGGTTACCTAAAGGAGTGCCTGCATCCATATATGCCCTCCCGCCCCTTGAGATCGGCGGCAGAGGCCCTTCTCCGGGAACCCTCTCCGTGAAGGATATTCGGAGGGTGAGTACTTGGAGGAAGGCTTTCTCTGCGGTGGGGCCCAACGTATGGAATGCGCTCCCCAGAGCGGTCTGCCTGGCACCGTCATTATTTGCTTTTCGGCGCCAGGCCAAGACCTTTTTATTTAAATGCTATTTTAATTGTTAAGGTTTATTTATTGATTTTAAACTGACCAGGCTGTTTCCACTATTTTATGTATTTTATGTATTCTATGTATTTTTTGTATTTATATGCGGAATTTTAATGATTGTAAGCCACCCCGAGGCTTATGCGAAGGGGGCGGCATATAAGCTGTCTGTCTGTCTGTCTGTCTGTCTGTCTGTCTGTCTGTCTGTCTGTCTGTCTGTCTAAATAAATAAATAAATAAATAAATAAATAAATAAATAAATAAATAAAAACTGTATGACACAAAAAAACCTTCTGAACATATGTGGAGGATATTGCACTGTTTTAATGTCATCTTGCTACCTGGGCCCTGCAAAATGTTCAGTTTCAAGTTGTGAATGGTTATATGGCTCTACTAATGAAGCAGCATGCATTTTTCTCCTTTCCATCTCACTGTTTTGCCAGTAAGTACTAATGCTTGCTCCTAGAAAGGGAATTGTTCCAGCCTTATGCATAAGTAGACCTTACTTGGTTCATTGGGAATTGCTTCCAAACAAGTGTGTCACATACCTTACCTGGGAATAAGTTCCTTTGGACTAAGTGGGAGTATCTTCTGAGTAGATATGTACAAGATTTCAGTGTTAGCCTTCAAGTTAGTGATCTTGTTTAATATCCTTGCATGTCACTTTGACTCCCTGATTGGGGTGTAACTTAATGCCCTTTGCTTCTGCCAGATTTTGATTGTACGGTACTAATGGACCATAACCTATCACCTCTTCCACATTTAAGTAGAAATATTAGGATGATGACCACATTTGTCTTCCTCTTTATTCAGAATTCAAACAACAATTCTCTCTAACGTGCATTAAATCACTGGTATATTGTAGTGTGGTTGAGCGTAGGGTTGCTTCAGTCCTCCTGTGCTATGTGATGTGTGAAAGTCACAGAGTGGCCATTGTCTTTCAGGAGCCCTTCTGGTTCAGCTGTACATCTGTGATGATGTGACATTAAGCACTCTGATAGTGATGTCCATGTTTGTTGATCTGTTGAGATCAAGCCCGCTAAACATTTATCTTTTGGTTTTGTATGTACTGGGGGAGCCTTTAAACTTCAGGGAGCCTTATATTTATTTATTACATTTATGTCCTGCCTTCTTTCCTTTCAAGGAATTCAAGGTGGCTTACATAATTCTCCTCCTCCTCCCAATCTTGTCCTTACAACAACAATCCTGTGAGGTAGGTTGGACTGGGAGTCCGTGACTGGCCCAAAGTCACCTAGTGGGCTTCATGGCTGAGTGGTGAATAGAACCCAGATCTCTCCTGGTCTCAATCAGTCCCATATTCTTTACCACTGCCCCACATTGGCTTGTAGGAGTGGAGGCTTAGTATGAACATTCAAGAAAAACTAAATTGCAGGTTTTTCTATACCACTGGCTGCTATAGCTGGCTTTAGATCTGTGGGGAACTCTGTAATGAATCCCATGAGGCATGCTATGGCTGACTTGGAGCACAGAAATCCTTTTTGTTTAAGGTATTGGCACAGAGGACTGAATTAGACGGAAGTATGCTTTAAATCAGACAAAGGTGGCTTGCTTGTGAACCATGCTCATATACTTTGGTCTGTATTATTCATAAAGAAACTAAACTTGAGAAGATAAGAATAGCTGGCAACCCAGGTTCATATTCCTTTGATGGACTTAGCTTGCCTGCAGGAAGGAACACCCAGTTACTTTCTCCCCAAACTCCAGGGGGCAAACTGAAAACTAATGGCCTTTACAGCAACACTTGCTGGGAGTCTGTGCGTGTCAGCCCAAAGCAGGGTGTGTGCATTGTTGCCTGTTTCAGCCTTGAAGCAGAGAGGAGATGGCTCTGCCTTGTACTAGGTCGATACAGGGAGAACTTTGTTCTTGACTCCGGCAGGGAGGGCCGGTCTGAGCATTAAGGTAGTCTGACGGTGTACATTATTGTTTCTGCAAGCCTTGGAGGGTGACAGGCACAGCCTGGGCCACAGGGAGCGTCAAGAGAGGTGGGGACTGCAACAGATTGTGGCCTGGCTGGCTCAGGAGGCAACATCAGTGTTGACGTTGCTGCATCAACATTGGACTCGCAATCAGCATGGCTTCCTGCCCAGCTATAGAATGTTCTGCTAGGGTGTGTGTGTGTGTGTGTACATTATGCACAGCATATGTGATACATAAAGAATCGATAGTTTAGCTATACACACACCCAAGCAGAGTAATGAATACATCTTGTAAACATAGACATGTTACTGGTTGCCATCAAAGGGTCCTCCCCTTTCCAGGGACGGTTAAGTCATTATTTTCCAGATCTTTCTTGGCTGCCTTTCAGGACAGGAGCCTTCTCAAGGTTGCGTACAACAATGTACGTGTGGTTGCTTTTTTAGGCTTGGTGTCCTAGGATACTGCTGCAAATTCTGTCTCCCTCCATCAGCTGGAGACTTTCCACAGCCAAATATTTCATTTTCTTGATGCTCAGTGTTGAGACAGACGTGTGTTCTATGTGTTGAACAGTCCAGAGAGCTTCGGCTGGTATAGAAACAAAATAATAATTATAATGTGTTGAGGGAGAGTTTAAAAATGCTCCATTTGGGGACTTTTTAGAAGGAATCTTGTACCCTGCATTGCCAAACTTCAGCTTCCTCTCTATTGTTCACATATACTTACCTGCATTACAAGAGTGTTGCAGTTCAGGAGGGACAATTGTGGGCACAGCTGTGAATGGTTTCTCTGAGAGGCCCAGCACTTCCATTCTGAATAATAGATGCATTGGTCTTCTGTTTATTTTCCATTTAATGCTCTTGTAGGCCTGGCGGGGCCTTAATATCAACTGTAAAATCTCCTGCCGCCTGGCCACTCTGCCTGTGTGGCAAGGCCAGCCGGTTTGGTGAAAGTGTCAAGCAGCTCTGTGAAGTCCAAGCGACTGTCCTATTAATAGAAATGCCTGCCAGCTGCGATCACAGCAACGGAGAAGAGGAGTCTCCCTCACTCAGAGGCTCTGCCAGCTTGGGAGTCCCTTCTCATACTTGGGGAGGTGGCAGAAGTCAACTAAGAAATCACTTTTTTTCTTTTAGTATTGCCAAGCATTGGGAAAGTTAATGGGAAATATCTAGCTCAGTAGCTTTTAGCATTTGCTTGGGCTTGTTCATTTGCCAACAGAAGTGTCAGAGGGCCTACCTTTGTGTGCACACTGCATGTGTGATTGACTTAAGTTAGACAAAGTAGGTGATATACTGTAGTTGCAGCCTCCTGGGGTAGGGTACAGCACGTTGAAATTGGGGCGGGGGGGTGGCATAAAGAGGATGTCTGGATAAGTAGCTTCATGGTAAAGCTGTTCCTGGACTTTGCCACTTCAGTCTGTAAGGTGGTGGTGGTGGTGGAGGAGGAGGAGGAAGAGGAAGAGGAGGAGGAGGTAAATGATTGGGTACATCGCCAGTAGGTGGGGGAGTTCTGCTCATTGAAAACTGGCATGCTGGAAAGAAAACAGGGCAGAATAATGCCTAGTTCTCTGTATGCAGGAATACTTAGTCAGGGGAAGGATTCAGTCATTTGTAACTCTTCAGCTGGTAGATCAAACCAGAAACATCTGATTACTATACATATGATCATTTCCCTCCAGGGTGCCGCTAAGACATCCTTCCCCAGTCTGGAACCCTCCAGACTTTTTGCACTCCAACTCCCATCAGCCTGAGCCAGCATGCCAATGGTAGGGATGGTGGGAGTTGTAGTCTAAAACATTTGTATCAGGTTGGAGAAGGCTGGTCTGATATTTTGGATTTGAGCTAAAGTCTCCTAGATTAATCTTTACCAAAGACTCATTGTGTGGCCTTGACCAGTTCTCATTTCCTTTCCGTATAGTGCAAATTGTAGTGACCTACCTCACAAGATTGTTAGGTCTAAAGCCAAAAAAAATGTTTAGAAATCTTTACAATACTGCACAAATGATGACTAGTGGTAGCATGAAGCTGAAGGGATACTAGCTGAAGCAACGAGGCGGCGGCGGCGGCAGCAAGACCAGAAGTATGTTGAATAGATCAGAAAGAGAAATCAATAGAATTTGTACTGCTATTTGTACTGGGCCAAAAGTATATTGCTATGATCACCATCCATGTTAACTGGAAGCCTCCACCTATCCCCTTCTAGTTCTGAAACATTTAATATTGGAGTGGGAAGGAGAAGACTCCATGTTTTCCCCTTTCCTGCTCCTGCCAAGAACTGGAAGTCAGCCTTCAGACTGGCAGCTGATTCTGTGGATTACTGGAATGTCCCAGCATAAGGTGCCTCCCATTCAGCACTTCACAGGCACCCACTTTTCTAGGCCATGTGAATACAGTATCAGACCCGTATCCAGTTGATCTGCTGCTGAAATGCTTTTTGATCCAGCAGGAACTATCAGTGGAGCAAGTGGGAGGTGATCTTCAGTAATTCCCCTTCTCTCCCCTTCCCCACAGCCTCTCCCATTCTGCTGTGGAGCACTGGGAGATCCTTCAGAACAATATGAGAAATAGGAGTGGGAGGAGAAGAAGAAGAATCACTGAAAGTCACCCCTCTCTATTCTCTGGAGCGGAACCAGAGCATTCTGTCAACAGAGGGACCCTGGCTGCAATCCAGCCATGTTTGGGACTTTTTATTGTTGCCCCTCCTTTCCACATTGTCCAGGAAAGGGGAATAAGCAAGGGAAGGACCTGGTTACCTGTTCTCAGAATGGAGTGTGGTGTCCTTTTCTAATTATTCTGTGGCTCAGATTGCTCCTCAGGTATGCCTGCTCGCTCATTCCCTGGCGTTGTCCCCTCCCCCATTTTGTCCCACAGGTCGAAGGCAGAGATGCGACACACCTGCCGTGGAACCATCAACCTGGCCACTGCTAACATCACTGTGGAAGACTCCTGCAACTTCATCATCTCCAATGGAGGGGCGCAGACCTACCACTTGAAGGCCAGCACAGAAGTGGAGAGGCAGCGTTGGGTCACCGCGCTGGAGCTGGCCAAGGCCAAAGCAGTCAAGATGCTGGCAGAATCAGGTAACGGGGGCACTCAGGGCAGCACAAATGGGGCAGGATGTGCAGTGAGGAATGGAGGGGAGTGTATTGTGGGAGGACGCAGCATCCAAGGGGATTAACATGAAAAATAGGTGGGCACCCCAAGCAGCCTAGATGTTGACTATTGACTTCAGTTAAGTCCGTGTTGATTTTTCTCTCCATTTTTCTGTCTGTGATTTGGGGGTTTGCCTTTGTAGGCGGTGTCATATCTCATACTTTCACTGCATCTGAATGTTAAAAAGGATGTGTAGATAACCATTCCCAATCTATGCTAAGCATGGGATTAATAAAGTAAATATCTCTTCACAGTTTTTCCTGCCCCATCCTGTTTCAGATCCCAGCTCCCTAAGGCAAGGTTTTATTCCACACACCAAATGTTTGTTACACAAATCGCTCAGTGTCCTTTGAGTGCTTGGCAGTGTGGCATGCCAAGGCAACAGGCCACCTGGGCTGCTGTGGTTTTAGCAGGCAGCTTCTGGTTAATGGATTCCTATTTTTAAGCATCAGACTTCTCTGATGCTTTTAGAGTTCCTGTTTGCAGTGCAAATGCATGTTCTAGCCATTGATACCAAATCATTAATAGGCAGTCAGCTAAGCTCTGTGTTGCAGCCTAATGGCCTCTGAGTTGAAGCATCTGTCAAAAAGTGGCAAATTTGATTAGGTAAAATAAGCACCCAAAGGCAGTGCTAAATGGCCATTCATGTATTAAATAAGATCTTGCACTGAAGGGCCTTAGACAGCTCTGCCCGGGTATAAATGTTTGTCTCTAACCTGCTTTTGGCCCTTAAATAGTATGTTGCGGCCATGGGCCTCTCTGAATTATTTCTTGTTCCGGATTGTTAATGTTTGTTCTTTGTAGAAGAGAAAATGAGTGAAAAATGAGTCATTAGTTGGTGCTGGACAGTTTGCTTCATTTTCATAATATTCTAAAGGCTTGGGATCTGAAAAGTAACAAAGTATTTGGCAGCTTTACAAGGAAGGACTTCTTCAGTGTTCTCAAAACAAAATGATCGCTGCCCAGTAAGATTAATTGTGCCAGGGCCCTGTGCTTCATAGTTGCAAATATTAGCTTTGCTTGAGTCCTGTTAAATTTTCAGTCTAGTTCTCCCTCCTTCTGTTCGCCCCCTAAGATGAGGAAATAATGGAAGAGAGAGAAATTTATTATTGTGGATGCTTGTCCTTATTTTAAAATGTTTGCCAAAAAAAAGGCAAACATATTCCCCTGCACACCATGGGAGGGGGACCAAGAGGAATTACAGTTGACAAGCTTATGCTCAATCGGTTTTAAGACATTTTGGAGAATGGTTTGGTGGTCTAGCAGTGCTGAGATACTGGAGTGCACATGAAAACTCTGTAAATGCTATGTCAGAGCCATGGGTCTCAACAATGAGTCACTACATATGGTAGCCCTGTGATACTTGGCTTGATTAGCTTATATTGCATTCCTGCTTTGGAGATTTTTGGTTCTAAAGTCGGGGTTCACAGTTGCTGCTGTTTCCATAAGTCAGAGATCTACAGTGGCCTACCACAGCCTTCCCTAATCTGGTGCCATCCAGATGTTCCCCTCTTCAGGAAAATGGGATAAAAGTGAGATGAAATTAATAAACAATATCTACACTTCAAGCAATGTATACAGTTTTGCTCTGCTGAGGGATGGAATTTCCATCTTTGCTTTACTTCAGCCACTGAATTGGGAAGAGAGGAGGGCTTTTTTTTCCCTAGTGAAGTACCTGTATCTAGATCAGGGTAAGCAAAGTGGTACTTCCAGATATATTAGACTGCAAGACCTCCCATCCTGTATATCCACTTTTAAAATAATTATTGAGTGTTACAGAACAAAACCTAGGAAGTACAGTGAAAAAAGAAAGTAAAAGAAAATATTAGTGTTCTGCATAAAAATTAAAGAAATCTGCAGCGCTTAATACATATGTTATGCATCCTTATGTATTAGTATGTCACAAGACATACCACTGTTGTTAAAAATAATTCTGCATAAACTTCAGCAAAGGCAGCCCTATTATTATTATTATTATTATTATTATTATTATTATTATTATTACATTTCTATGCTGCCCCTTGCCGAAGCCTCGGGGCAGCTTACAACACAATAAGATACATTCAAATACAATAGAACATAATAAATTACCACTTAAATACAAAAATACAAAAAATACACTGAGATACAATAATATAAAATTAAAATTAACAGTATAAAATAAGTAAATAAAGAATATAGGAGGAGGAAAGAGAAGGAAGAAGAAGTTGCCCTGGCCAGATCATATATTTTAACAATTAAAATGATGTTTAAATAAAAAGGTCTTTACCTGGCGCCGAAAAACAAGTAATGACAGTGTCAGGCGGACCTCTTTGGGGAGTGAATTCCATAGGTTGGGTGCCACCGCAGAGAAAGCCCTCCTCTGAGTACTTACTCTCCTAATTTCTTTCATGGAGGGTTCCCGAAGAAGGGACTCTCCCACAGATCTCAAGGGGTGGTCGGGTATATACGGACGTAAGCGCTCGTTCAGGTAGCCAGGACCCAAGCCGTTTAGGGCTTTATAGGTCATATATCTAAATATTTATCAATTTGTAAATTATGCCTACAGATCATGAGTTCAAAATTCAAGAGTTTTATTAAGTCCTCCATCCATTGTGTTATTGCAGGAAGCCATTTATTCTTCCAGTGATGTAGAATTAGTATTTTAACTATCAAAAAAAAGAGTGTGAAAAATCCATTTGTGTTGGCTTTGCACTAAATACCTAGAGATAGGGAGATAATTAAGAAACATGTATATCATTGAATATTGTAATGATTGTAAGCCGTCCTGAGATGCTATGCATAAGGGACAGCATATAAAAGTTTTAAATACATAAATAACATTAAAGAACTTTGCATCACAAAATTTATCCGAATAATTGTCTCCTTCCAAAAGGAATTAGCTATTGGGTATTAGCAAAACTTACAAAGAAGAGAAGGATTAGTTGCCTTGCACCTCCAGCAATTGGCTGATGTAAGTAAGCCCTGATCAGAAAGATATTGTGGCATCTGGTATACTTGAAACATCAATTATTGCTAAATTATGCATAGCCTAAGATCCATGACTCCTTACAAAAGAGATAATAATGAAGTGTTCCATTGATTAGGCAAAATGGATTGCTTCAGTTCATTATCATAGTAAACCTTCATGAGATTCACTTGAATAAACAACAGTAAAGAAAGGTTTTAAATAAATAAATAAATAGTCCTATTTTTGGTTGAGACCCTGTGTATCATGGTTATTCACTTTAATAGATATTTATATACATGAACTATAGGCCAGTGTAGCCTCAATCTATGCCTCCAGTAACACAGATAGCTCTGAGAGTATAAAACTCAGCATGAAACCTGGATTCTTATAGATGTTTCAACTGTGGGTATTTCCATTCAGTTGTGGATGGCAATTAATAGTTAGCTGACCAAGTGGAAAATGGCAGGAAGCTATCAAGACCAAAAATCAGCCAGTCCATCCATATCTGCCAATCAAACATTTTCTTGCCAATCTTTTAATTCCAGATGTCCCCATAGAGTTAATTTTGCATGTGAAAATAAGTCAAATTATAACTGACATGAAAATATGCACCAGGCTTCTTTACCTGCTGTACCAGTAGGATGCACATGATCTGTCAGCAAAGCCAATACGAGGGGATTATGGGAGTTGTACTGCAAAGCATCTGGAGAGCATCTGAGCATCTGTTTCTGACCTTGCTCTTTGATTATCTGACCCATTTCCTTAAATTATCTCTTCTATGTCTCCTGTTAAGAAAGCAGCCACTGTTGGGGAACGAAGGAGTGTGATAACGCATTTGGTTCTGGGGGCGGGTTCCGGCCTTGGCTTGAAGGTGTTAACAACTGGAGCTTGCTCCTCACAGATGATTCAGGGGATGAGGAATCTGTATCGCAGACAGACAAGACAGAGCTGCAGAACACCCTGCGCACCCTTTCCAGCAAGGTGGAAGACCTCAGTACCTGCAATGACTTGATCGCAAAGCACGGGACCGCTCTGCAGCGTTCCCTCAGTGAGCTGGAGACCCTCAAGCTGCCTGCTGAGAGCAATGAGAAGATCAAGCAAGTCAATGAGCGCGCCACGCTTTTCCGCATCACTTCCAATGCCATGATCAATGTAAGTGAACTTCCAGGTGCAGGCTGTGAGCCTGCCTTGTTGGAGGAATGCTCTGGCTAGTAGAAAGCATCTGCCATGCTCCAGGTCCATGCATTGGTAATATAACCGGAGTGCCAGAACAGGATCCCTGAACGCCACTATGGCGTTTTCCTCCACTGAGAAGAGAGGTGTGGTATGTTATGCTGTGTTGCTAAGCTCTCGAATGCTTAAGGGACCTTTGACATTATACATGTTAGCACAATCTAAGCCTTTATTTGTTGGGTTTTTTAAAACAAAACCATCAACAACCTGCAAGCAAAATTCTTACTTGTCCTGAATCCCCGTGTAGTTGTATGTACTGTGAGAGCCGGTGTGGTGTGGTGGTGAGTGTTGGACTGGGAACATGGGAAATCGGGGTTCTGGTCCCCACTCAGCCATGGAGCCAACTGGGTGATTTTAGGCCAGTTGCTCACTCTCAGCCCAAGATCCCTCACAGAATTATTGTTGTAGGATAACTTGCAGAGAAAATGAACTTTGTAAGGCATCTTGGGTTCCTCGCAAGAGGAAGAGAGACAGGATATAAATGCATTGTAGTTGTAGTACTACTACTAGTAGTAATAGTAATACGGTTGATACTCAGTGTAGCCACACCATGCTATTAGAACCATAACTCAGTTGGAACCTTCAGGAAAGAACTTGACAGAATTCCAAATCGATAAACAGTTTATCAGATCAGATTTTTAAAACTGGGGAAAGCAGAGGAAATGAATAAAATGGCATCATGAAGAAAAGGTCTTTAGAAGAATTATATTGAGGACTAGAGAATATAACTTTTCTTAGGATTGAAGATCACATGGCTGGTACCTCTGGTTTCTGAAAAGGTGGCATGTTTTGGCCAGGGCATTGTATGTGCCTGAGACAACCAACTATGAAGCAAGGGGATTAATTCAGAAAGTGCAGAAAGAATGTATACAGATACCTGTAAAATAGCATTCTGGTGTTCTGATTTGGTATATTTCTTAAATACCATACTTAGAATTCTGCATAATCTGCAGGTAATCTGTCAGTCTTGGAGACTTAAATCCAAGTTGATAACTGTCAGCTGTTTTTCAAAATGGCTGAAAACAGCAACAGCTGCTACAACCAAGCTGGACTCCTAACCTGAAGCCCTCCTTTAATGGGGGAATCAACCTACAAAAATTAGTTTTCCAGCCTGTTCTGTGCTGGCCTTGGATGGTGAGCAGGGACTAGTTAAAAAACAACAGCTGCATACCAAGTGATCTGTCCCACTTCTGCCAGTCCATTAATTGGCCCAAATGGCGTTCCATATGCTTATCTTTGTGGAATTCTTGGTTGCCCATGGCTACCAGGTGATGTTTTGAATACAAGATTAGCAAACTGTTCTTTGAAGATGGAATGACATCACAATGCCCTTTCAGAAAAAGTCCTTAACTAGCAGCAAGCAGTTTACACTACAAAAGGCTTTAAACTTGAGGATAGCTCAAGGAATGAAATGGAAATTACATTTTAGAAAGCTTGTAGTCAACCAGGTTTGCACCTCCCCACTCCTCTGCCAGCATTATACAAAAAGCCTCACAGGGGGTGCGAAATGGGAAGATAAAAAGGTGAGAAATAGGCTGGTATATATCTAGGAATAAAGGATAGCCTAGTCTGGACGTTGCATTCATTCTGTTGACAAAACTAATAGACCATATGTGTATGTTAGCAGTGTTCTTGCATAAGATTAGCCATGCTGGATCAGACCTGTCTAGTCAGCATCCTGTTTTCAGCAGCTGCCAGCCATGCCAGTGAGACAAGGCGAAGCACCCTTCAGTCTGTGTCCCCTGTCAACTGGTGTAGGGGGCCATTCTGCCTCCTGTACTGAAGGTAGCAAAGAACCACCAGGACTGCAGCTCCTGGTAGCTTTATCCTCAGTGAATTTGATGAATCTCCCTTTAAAACCACTCAGATTTCCAAGTCATCATGACATATTGCCAAGGAAATCCTTTGTTCACAATGTAGAAGTACTTCCTTTTGCCTGGATATCCCACCATTCAGTGTTACAGGGTGATTCAGCTCCCAATCCTGTGAAAGAGGGAGACACACAACTCTCTACTTCCTCCAGAGCACTGTTGTGCTTTCTTTACTTACCCACTTTGTAGTTTTGTATAGTTGCAGTTGCACTGCCAGATATCCAGAGGATTTTCCCCCAGAATGGGAGACATTTTAATTTATCTTAGCCTTTCTGGTTGCAAGGCTAGTGAAGCACTGTTCCCCTAGATGTTCAAATACAATATTTCTGTAAAATATTCTGAATTTAGAGCAGGGCATGCAAGGATGTTCCTACCCATCACACCCTTGTCCCTATCTACAGACCCTAGTCTTCACATTCCTGTCCCTTAGCACTGCTTGCCAATGTTCTCCCCCTGCCTTTCCTTGATAATTTCCCCCCTATTTTACTTTTAGGATGATTAATCAAGTCAGAATAACATCAAACACCTGATTCTCAGTGGAGTTCAAGTGTTAGTGCTGTAATCAAATGGTCACACTCAGTATCTGTGTGATTGGCACAAATATATCTGCTGGTGAGGTTCCTGCAGCATATGGTGCAAACATTACCCTTGCCTGGGTAAGGAATACTCCCTTGGGATTTTCACAGACAGATAGCCTCTATCCATGTGTCCCTGAGCATCTGTTCAAGTGCATAGCATTTCTGAAGTTGCTAGGAGACTGGGGTAGCAGGTTTAGTGGGCTTCTGGGACAGAATAGCAGAATTGCCTTGATGAACTCCAAAGGACATGTTACCCAACAGTTCTTCTCAGTCATTCATACACTGCCCAATAGCTGAGACTCTCTGAGTGGTTAATTAATGAGATGCCATAGTTTACCATTTGAAGAGCAGAGGCAGCAGAAGCCATCCTGGTCCAGTTTGATCTGGGCCACCCCTGTTGTGCAGCAGAGAGAAGTGACCAACTTGGAGTGGTCCCACTGGGATGGCAGGTATGGGTGCAGGCAGACACCGGTGAATTGTTGGTCAGTGAGATGTCTTTGAACTATTGGCCCAAGTCAGGAAAGAAGTGGCGTTTGGCTACTTAGTGTTGTCTAATTCTGCCTCTTTTGGGCATCCGTTCCTCACAGGCCTGCCGAGACTTCCTGATGCTGGCCCAGACACACAGCAAAAAGTGGCAGAAATCTCTTCAGTATGAGCGGGACCAGCGCATCCGCTTGGAGGAGACGCTAGAGCAGTTGGCTAAGCAGCACAACCACCTAGAAAGGGCCTTCCGTGGAGCCACCGTCTTACCAGCCAATGCACCCGGCAACATGGATTCTTCTAAAGGTAGGAGCTGGGAACTTTAGCCCCCACCATGTCACGAACCATGCCCTGGCAGCTGGGGGTTCCTCAGAAACTTCCCTTTCTCTTGTGTTCTACTAGTCAAAATTAGTCCTGCTTGACCTCAAACTAACAGGCAGTGGGTGGGGAACCTCAGGCCCAGAGACTAAACTTGGCCCTCTTAGGCTCTTCATTTGTTCCTCCAAGATTCCCTAGATGGCCTGTTTGGCCTCCCTCAACAACCAGTGTTCTCCAGTGGTCCCTGAAGACTGGAATGCATTTCCTGAGCTTTAGTTACTAGCAGTAAAAGTTTCATCCTGCTTCTTGGCAGTTCTGGAGCCCCTTGTTGTGTTATTTATGCATAAATAGACCTATAGTTGAGTTCTTCTTGGACAGTGATGGTGAACCTTTTAGAGACTGAGTGCCCAAACTGCAACCCAAAACCCACTTATTTATCGCAAAGTGCCAACACTACAATAAAACCTGAATACTGAGGTTTTAGTTTGGGAAAAACATCTCGCAGCCAGTCCAAGAAAATATGTAGATATCCTTGGCAGTGCACTGACCGACCACGCGAAAGCCCGGACAAGTCACGGCTAATGAGTTGCAGCTTGTGACGTCATCACCTGGCACCGCTACTGCTTTCCAAGCATGCGCATGGCCCCTGTGTGTGCAGTTATCTGATGCTTGGCTGGGGTGATGCTGGGGTGACTTGGCTAACATGCCGACAGAGAGGGCTCTGTGTGCCTCCTGTGGCACATGGGCCATAGGATCGCCACCGCTGTTCTAGGATATTGACAAGATCTGCCTAGTCAAAAAAAATGCCCATATTTCAATCTCCTGCCTTCTGTGGTTTTCTTTTGGAAAAACATACCTGGGATGACAAAGGCAGAGATAACTTAAGTCCCCAATTTTGCATGAAAGTGGTTTTGTGGGGTATGTTTATACCCCAAAGAGTGGAACAGAAGTAGGTCAGATACAGATCATTATAGTCTCTTTTGAAAGCCAAGGGTCTGAGTTAAAATTTCCAGCAAATAAAATAAATTCTTTCCCTCAATGAATTCTTTTCTGCTGGTTTAAAATGTGTAGGCCAGACTGTTCTTATGCAGAGCAAGTCTATAGTAGGGGTCCTCAAACTTTCTAAACAGGGCCAGTTGACAGTTGGCTGCGGGCCGCCAAGGCGGTGCTGGCGGGGAGGCATGGGCTGGTGTGGGGGCAGGGCACGTGTGCACGTGAGGTGAGATGGGGGGAGCATGTGGGGCGAGGTGCTGGCTTGCTCGCGAGGAGATAGTTTCCATTCAAGTCCAAAATGATCTTCCTGCAAGCAAGCCACACCTGCGCCCAGCGAGTGCAAAACCCATGGGGCGGGCCGGATCCAGCCCGCGGGCCTTAGTTTGAGGACCCATGGTCTGTAGGTTCAGCACTTCTTGACAGATTTAATGCATAGCCTCTGGGAATATTTCTTGCTCAAAGGTGAAAGCCATTCAGACACTGATTGAAACTTCCTGCTAGGGGCAGAAAATTCAGCCAGGTCTTTCATATGCAGCATTTTTCTTGCCTAAGGTGCTTTTGTCTGGGGTAACAAAATGCCCCCAGATGTAACTAGTACTAAGTTTTATGTTAGTGGAGGATGATGTTTAAGCTAGTTTATGCTGCTATCTTCTGTATTTTTGGGCCCTTCCCTTTTGCTTTTGGACCTACCCTGTGCCTTTGGCCGCATGCAGAGTCAAGATAATACAGCTCCCAAATGCTTCTGCAGATCCAATTCAGTCCTCAGGCTTCAAGAAGGCGTCCTGCCCCTGTACTAGATAATCACAACCAAAGAAAGTGACATCAGCACCCATTACTCTTACAGATCGATGTTGCCCGTCAAAGGGAGATATGAGTGATGAAGATGATGACAATGAGTTCTTTGATGCTCCTGAAATCATCACCGTGCCTGATAGCATGGGCCACAAGTGAGTGATCCCCTGTTCAACTAGGAGCTCTACAGCCCTCGGCTTTTGGCACTGGGAATGCTCAACCCATGGAGGTGTCCCCCTCATGGTACCTTCCTGCTTCTCTTGCATGGGCCATAGACTAGAAGTGGCTAACTAGCATGCATGGGCTGAAAGCCAAAGCACTGAAACAGATTGCCTGGACACCTTTTTGTGTGAGCTTGTGTGTGTGATCTTGTTGCCTTGGCTTTCAGAATGGGGAGGACAGGGAGAGGATGCAAGGCAAGAGGGAGGCATGAAGTAGTAACTTGAATACATGAGGCTGTTTGATCCTGAGCAGAGTAACCGATCCATTAAACCTGTTGTTGTCTACACTGACTGGCAGCTCCTTGAGATAATCAAAGCCCACGCTTGTTGCCCTTCTAGGGGCAGATCGTACTGCATTGCACTGATTCTGCTTGTCTTGGGATCGCCATTACCAGAAGGCAGCACTTGGGGGATTTCTGCTTATCCCTGAAGCACTGGTGTTGCCAGGCCCTGCAGGCTCCCATCTTATCCCAGACACTTTACAACGTCATGTGAAACTGCTGGGTGGGTGGGGGAATCCAGAGATTTGAGGTACGTATCTTGTCATCAGTGCACTGCTGATGCACAGCTCTGGCTTCCCTTTTTCATCTGATCCAGGTGAAGCAGTGGACTGGATCAGGGCTTGGCAGCAATAAGGAGGCAGATGAGGACTAGCAAACGTGAAGCTCAGTGCAGACAAGGCACCCCCTCCCTCCCCCTGCACACAGGGGATCCAGTCCTTACTGCAGTTACAGTCTGAACCCAAAGGATCCCGTGTTTGCATATGTACATACTCACACCTTATCAACAGAGGCCCTTTTTGTGTCCCTCTCAGTTGGAACCTCAGCAGAGGCTGCATGAGATCAGACCTTCTCTGTTGCGGTCCCCAGTTATGGAAAACTGTCCCCTGAGAGGCTTGCCTGACACTTACATTAATATCTTTTGGGTGTCGAGGAAACACTTCCAGAGGTGTTACTGTCTTAGAAATCTTGTGGTCCTTGGCCGAGTGTCCCAGGGACCATTGGATGGCTCGGAAAACTTCTTCCAAGGTAGGAGACAGTGCTCTGAGCTCAGAAGGGGGAACTGGCGTGTGCTTCCCACCCAGCAGCTGGTGAGGAGAGAGCTGCCCTGCTTGTCTCAGATTGAAGAATTGGCCTTGGAGAAGGGGGGAAAGGGGGTGTTCTGGTGGCAGGAAGAGGAGGTCAGGCTATGAGTTATCTTGCACCCCTGCCACCCTCCCTCCCTCCTGAAAGTTCCCCCAGTGGACAGGCTGAGATGTCAGAAATTGTATGACTTTTTCCTTGCATACGGGGACTCTTGTTTCTGTTAGAGCTTTAGCCCTACATCCTGGTTCTTTTGCTTGTTGAATTAGCTGATGCGAGTATAGTTGCATGTGCTCTTTGGAATCATTGACGGGCTCTTTAATTTGATTTTTTTGTTATTTCTAATATTTTCTCTTTTCTGTCTATTTGTCACTCTAAGATTATGTTAATTATAAAGCAACTCTTAAATAATGGAAGATAATGGTGGGAAAATAGGGCAGGGAACTGGGGGAACTGCCATGTCACAGGGGCTGTGGCTCAGTGGCAGAGGACTTCCTTTGCATGCCGAAGGTCTTGGCTTCAGCCTACAGCTCCTCTGGGTTAGGCTAGAAAAGACCCCACCCTGAAACCCTGGAGAGCTGCTGGCAGTCAGTAAAGACAATACTAGGCTGGATGGACCTAGCATCTGACTTGGTCTAAGGGAGGTTGCTCTATTCCACGCGGACTCCTGAAAGTAACTTCTCCAGCCCATTAAGGGGCTTATGGCTTACCTTGAACTTTACAAGTCAAGCTGTATGGTCCTGGTTGCCTAAAACTTGAGTGTTTGATGCTTGGTTATTTCCAAGGTACCCAAAGGGTTGCTGATTTCCATCCCTGACAAGCTAGATGCCATGTTCCTGCTCTGATGGTGTTTGGTAGCATTGTTTTCTGAATTGTGTTTTTCTGGCTAGGAGAGTGCCTTGACTTGTGCCTTCTTGTTTTCTCTTTCTCATGGTGTGTCTCTTTCATTCCTTTAGACGAACAGGTAGCAACATCAGTGGTGCTAGCAGTGACATCAGTCTTGATGAGCAGGTAGCCTGTTTCTTTGAATTGAGGGGAGGGAGAGGGATGTAAGCCTTCCCACCAGATGCTACTGGGGCTCCACAGAGGAAAATACCTGGAACATGTGCCCTTTGGAAGCTTCTAGAGGGACCCAAGAGCTTGCCCTACACAGTCCTTCCTGCTAAATGAGGCATGTCTGAATGGAGGATGGGGAGCAGATTGTGAGTAGGAGGACTGTTTTAACAAAAGGGCTGAAGATCTTGGCTGGGGTGATGAACTGCTTCCTGCCCCAGGGCCAGTCCACTGAAGGTCTTGGTGCAGGGCCAAGAGGTTTCATCTTGATGGTCCTACTGCCAGCTGCAAAGCCTGAGAAGAAGCATTTCAACATTCACGAATGCGGGGAGGTGGCAACTTAGGGCTCCAGGAAGATCATGTTCTGTACTCCTGGTTTGGGTTGTTATTTCTCATGCAACCCTGAAGGACTTTAGTGTATCCTGAGGCATACCTCATTGAAGGCTGGGAAAACGAAGTCTGATGATGGCCCAGAGTTGGTTTTGTAATCCATAGTTCTGCCTCTTTGGGAGTGTAAGAAGGCAGCCATTGCAGGCTTAGCTAACCTCCTCCTAAGAACTAGATTGGGGTATTTGAGAGTAGATTGTTTAACTATATGCACTGGGTGAAGTAAAAAAGACCTTAGAAGACTGTGCAGGGTTCGTGGGCCAGCTGATGTATTCCTCACCTGGCTTTGACTGGTCTCTTGTTTTTCTCAAAGTATAAGCATCAGGTGGAAGACACCAGGAAGGAAAAGAGGACTCGAATTCCCTACAAACCAAATTACAGCCTGAACTTGTGGAGCATCATGAAGAACTGCATTGGCAAGGAACTCTCCAAGATCCCTATGCCAGTGAGTCTCTTGGGCCTTCTTTGGGACATGGGACCCGGGAGTTGCTGCCCATTGCCCCAGGGGGAAAGAAGGTAGGGCTCCCCCTCTTGTCCCAAGGGTGAGGTGGAATGACTCGGTGCAGCCCCACACTCTGTGCTATGAGATGTGGGGGCAGCCCCCTGCGTGTTTCCCGCATCAAGCCCTGCACCACCTACTTTGTCCTTGAGATGATGATCTTCTGCCTCTTCGGCCTCCAGGTTAACTTCAACGAACCCTTATCGATGCTGCAGCGCCTCACAGAAGACCTGGAATACCACGACCTGTTGGACCGGGCAGCCAAGTGTGAGAGCTCCCTGGAGCAGCTCTGCTACGTGGCTGCCTTTACTGTGTCGTCTTACTCCACCACTGTCTTCCGCACTAGCAAGCCATTCAACCCTCTTTTAGGGGAAACCTTTGAGCTAGACCGGCTGGAAGAGAATGGCTACCGTTCCATCTGTGAACAGGTGAAGAGTAGGATGCCTTGGTTTGTTTGTTTGTTTGTTTGTTTGTTTGTTTTAATCCATAGCAGAAATTGTTGATTCAAGGAGGGCTTTCCTAGAAATTTCCCATCTTAAGCAAACCAAGTTCAATCGATATTTCTCCAAGTGAGTGTGATTAGCATCCTAGTCAGTTTGTCTTTGGGTTCTGTGCGGTCCCTCCTCCTTCCTGGGGGACTTGGTTGTGGGGGCTTAGGCCCTTCTTCCTTATCTGTTCTCTGTTGTGTCTCCAAGGTGAGCCACCACCCACCAGCTGCTGCGCATCACGCTGATTCCAAGCATGGCTGGACCCTTCGCCAGGAGATTAAAATCACCAGCAAGTTCCGTGGCAAATACCTCTCAATCATGCCACTTGGTGAGTCTTTGCCACCATTTGCCACCACAGTGGCTAGGAGAGCATGGCTGTCTTCCACCTGTGCTCCTTGTCTCATATACACCCTGCATTTTCCAGCCTTCTCCTAGCTGAAGTTGCAATATCTGGAAAGGTTATGAGACCCTTGTAGATAAGTGTTTGTCATGTATGGCATTTGTTGGTGAATTTTCCTTGCTTGCATCCCTTGGAGATATTTAGAACACAATCATTCTTCAGGTTGGGGTGGGGAATCTGATCCTCTGGGGTTCTCCAAATAGTCATAATGACTTCCCCTGATCACGCATTGCTTGGTGGATTATTAGACTTGTGAAGTTTTTCCTCTTACTCTGAAAGGTTGGAATGCCTCTCCTAAGACTTAATTACGGGCAGTAAGAAAGAGCTTTGCACTTCATTGTGCTGGCATTGTTGAATCTGCCCCCTTGTGCCTTTGGTCTCTCCTGCCACTAGAAAGTGACCCCCAAGAGCTTCTCCAAAGTGGAGTTCAACCCTCAAACTCAAAGTGATAACAGCCCTGCTTTGGGCATTGTGTAGGGAACTGTTATAATGGCCAGCCAAGAGAAACTCAGCTCATGCATAGCTGAGCAGGGATTAAAACCAAGGCCTTACATATAGAGGCACCAAAACCCACCAAGGACTCTCCAGCCGTAGGGAACTGTTTGCAGCACCATCTCTTTCTTCCTAGGTACCATCCACTGTATCTTCCATGCAACTGGCAATCACTACACATGGAAAAAGGTCACCACCACAGTGCACAACATCATTGTGGGCAAATTGTGGATAGACCAGGTGAGTCACAAGTGTGTGTGAGTTCTGTGCAGTCAGAGGTGTGCTTGCAGATGGCGGTGCTGGAGGCCAAGACCTTGGACAGCCACTTTGCAACCCTCTCATCCACTGGCTGTTTTTGCTGAACCGCTCATTAAATACAGAACAATGTTAGCGAGCATGTAATGGGTGTGGAGCCTGCTTTGATAATGCCCTTCCTGTTTCTGCCTCCAGTCTGGTGAGATTGAGATTCTGAACCACAAGACCAATGAGAAGTGCATTCTCAAGTTTGTTCCTTACAGCTACTTCTCAAGAGATGTGGCCAGAAAGGTAAGAGGTGATGTGCCCTAATCATTCTCATGTGGGCTGGAAAAACCAATGAAGGCCCACCTGTGAAAGAAGGAAGCACCTGCTTGGTAGCAAGAGGGGTCTTGTATGTAGACAAAAGGCTACATCCGCAGCAGTGACCTTGGCTGGTTTGGCCAGTACTTTTGCATGCATTACAGCCACTACAAAGCCCGTGGTGCAGCACAGTGGGGAGCAGTCTTGGCAGAAGAGCAAGGAGGACTTTTCAGCTTCCATGTGGAGAAGCTAACACACTTGTCCTCTTTTCCCTGGATTTGTGTGTAACTCTACCAAAAAGTAGCAAGCCAAACCGGATCTGGTGTCGTAATGAGAGCTGTGTCCAATGCCCCTCCTAAATTCCTTCCATAACAGGTCACCGGAGAGGTGCTAGATCCCTCAGGCAAAGTGCATTTCATGTTGCTGGGCACCTGGGATGAGAAGATAGACTGCTTCAAGGTGATTCCGAGCATGGAGAACGGCGGTGACAGCCGGCAGAGAGCACACGAAGCCGAGGACAGCAGGGTCCTGCTGTGGAAGAGGAATCCACTCCCGTGAGTAAGGGAGGTAGCTTGGCTTGCCCCAGTTTACTGTGGTGGCTTGGCTGGGCGCTCTGCTGACTGGAGACTGCTGGTGCAAGCACCGGTTCAGCTGGCTGTAGTTGAGGGGAGGGAAAACATATTGGAAGGATGAATCTCAGGGTGGAGGCAGTGATCATGGTACCAGCATCCTGTTCTGGTGCTGTGTGCTCCCCCCTCCTTGCAAAAGGTGAATTGAGAGAGTTTATGGAATGTGTGTGCTGTGGGGAAGGTGGTAATTTTGCTAGTTGTAGGATGGGCCAAAGAATGCAGAGCATGGAAGCCACAGCCCCTGGGAACTGAACTCCAGCCCCGTCCTCCTCTTCCGTGCACTTGCAGTCTTAGTCACTAGCTATTGTCTACCCATTCAAGTCTAGCTATAGACCCTCTCCTTTGACATGGAACCACCCTCAAGTGTCAGACTTCAGTACTAGCTTTTTGACCCCTTGAGGGGCCTGATGGTCCAAGGTGTGCCTGAATCTCCTTCCTGCAACCTAACAGCAAGCCTAATGCTACCTTCCTGCACTGGACTGTCAGCTGGGGTGCCAGTCAGAGCCAGGCCTCCAGCTCCTGTTTCTTTCCGCTTGCTGCAGGAAGAATGCTGAGAACATGTACTATTTCTCAGAGCTGGCTCTGACTCTCAATGCCCCAGAAAGTGGCACTGCTCCGACAGACAGCAGGCTTCGGCCTGACCAGCGGCTCATGGAGAACGGGCGCTGGGATGAAGCCAATGCAGAGAAGCAGCGCCTGGAGGAGAAGCAGCGCAGCTCCCGCAAAAAACGAGAAGCCGAGGCCATGAAGGCCACAGAGGATGGTGAGTTTTGCCCCACTGGCCCTTCACTGGGTTTTCCAGGGCAGCAGGGACATGAGAATCCTCCTCTTGCCCGGCCCAACGGCTGCTTCATCTTGTCCTGCTTTTGGCTAGCAGTATCTTTCATATGTTGGGCGGCCTTTCCTAGACCTGCTTCTTGATCTCCCTTCAGCTTGGAAGTGCCCAAGTTTGAACCTGGGTGATTCTGCATGCAGAGCATGCACTCATCTAAGGGCTCCCCCTCAGGAGGGAAGATATGGCTCTTCATTCCTGGGGGTAATATCAGTTATGTGCCTTTTTTTCCCCCGTTCGTGATCTGAAAATTCACACACAGCTCTCTCCTCTGCTGCCTCTTCCCTCCTTGCAGGAACTCTTTATGATCCCTACAAGGCATTGTGGTTTGAGCGGAAGAAAGATCCCGACACCAAGGAGGTGGCGCATGTGTACCGGGGAGGCTATTGGGAGAGCAAAGAAAAACAGGACTGGAGCATGTGCCCCGATATTTTCTGAGCTGGAAGCAAGCAGCAGGACTTTTACAAGGACGATGGGAAGGAGAAGGTAGTGAAATGAGGATGGAGGGGAGCAACTGATCATGTGACTTCCTGCCTAGTGCTTTCCTCACCGAATCTTGTCTGTCTTAACCAATCACTTGTTTTGAATCAATCACCCAAAGCAGAATCCAGCAGTGGTGATTGGCTGGGTTGCCTTAGCTAATTGACGCTGAGGGTGGTGTCTGGATTCCTGGATGGCTGGCGACATGTAGGAGTAGAAGACTCCATCCTTCCTTTCCCCCACCACAGGAATATCACTCAGCTCTCAGTCATGTATACTTTGGGGAGGAAGAGGGGTGCAGCGCTGTGCTGCATCGATCGCCCCCGCCTCCACCCCATGGCCACCTTCAGATAAGATAGGCAAGTTCAGACCACAAATGTTGCACCAAAGGATTGGCTGGGAAAGGTTACAGGGAACTTCCTCTTGTTTTTTTCCTTTAAGGTTGCTCTCTCGTTCCTTCTTCCCAATCCTCTCTTCAGCTTTGGGGAGGGGGAACCAGTTCTTTCCAGGGACTCTCATGTCTCTTGGTTTGCACAGGTGGCAAAGCAACTGGTGATGCCTTGGGGCAGGGTGGGTGGGGGGAACCTTCTTTTGGGGCAGCACGAGCTGCCCTCTGGGGGAAGGAGATTAAACTGACCATCCTCCTTTCTCAGATCCATCCTTCTCACCAGGCTTCAGCCCCGTGTGCACTTGGGTGGGAAGCAACAATGTGGGACAGAGCCCCTCTGCCTAAAGATCCTGGCCTAAGGCAACCGCTGGCTTAATACACACTTGTTTATATGTATATTATATATATGTAGAGAGAGATCTAATTTTTGTTCTGATTTCCTTCCACACTCCCCCCTGGCTCTTTTGGTTTGCTCCCAATTTTGTAACACTCACCCTGCTGTCTCCTTCCATGGCCCCCAGATCAGGGAGGTGCTCTGCTGAAAGCGTGATACTAAATCACGGCTTGTCTTACCTTCAAAATCAGCTTTTCCTGATGCTGAGCCAGAGCTCGAAGGCATCAGTCTTAAGCCTTCTCACTCTGTGCAGGCACAAGCCCAGGTGTCCTTTGGTTCCAGTATGAAATAGGGAGATGGTGGGCTCTCCTAAGCCAGTCCTGGACAGCACCAATCACAGCTGCCAAGCTGGCTTCTGAGGTCAAAAAGGTGTTGCCACTGTGCAGCAGTGGCAGAGGGCGCAGAGGCTGCCCCAGCTAGGCCCCTGCTTGTGGGAGGGAGTAGGCTACAAGTAAGCCCCTGTCCTTGGCGAAGAATCACACAATGAGGTGCCTTCCTTCTCTGTGTGTGTGCGTGTGCGCGTGTGTATGTTTCACCCTTCTTTTTTGCGTTGTTTTCTTTTCTTTTGGTTTGTTCCTTAACTTCCAAACTTTATCCTCCGAAGGAGTGAGAGGCGACAAGTGCTGCTTGCTGGTGAGTCATCTTGCTGGCTGGGAGAGACGCAGACATGGGCCCTGCCCTTCCCAGCAGCAAGAGCAGTGCTGCTCCATGGGAAGGAAAGAAAGGGGGCTTTGGGTGGGATCTCTACACTATTTGCTGCTTGGTCTGTTTGAAGCCTGTTTTTGCAGCTGGTGGAGGCTGTCACTTCCTTGTATAGAATAATGACAGGCTTTACAGAAAGTCGGGGGGAGAGAGAATATCCCTGCAATTCTATTTTTGGGGTTTTTTTGCCTTATTGTCTTTTTTCCAAGAAAACTAAATTAAATAATAAAACCTGAAATGTCAAAGACTGTTTTGTGTGCGTATCGCTTAACTTTCGGGCTTGAGGCATATTGTTTCTCTCCTGCAGCTTGTCCAGTTAAAGATGATGCCCCCCTGGTGCCTTCCACCTTTATTTTCTTGCCCCGGTGTGCTGGTTTATTCCAGCACTTAGGTATAATTCGTAATTTGCCATGAGCTTCTCCACCGGTACCTTGGCTGACTCTGTCGTGGGCCTGAAACAGGCTGGCTTCTGATTTGGCCTTGGAGGCTGACAGGGCCGTTCGTGCAATCCACATGGCTCACCACAGGAATGCCATGTCCTTGTGGGAGGAAGAAAATCCCTGTTTTGCTTACTGAAATTAGACCGTGACCACTTTCTGCCAGATGTGGAGCCCAGCCAACCGTCTGACTGGACTGGGATTCCTTTGGGCCCAGCGGTATCTGTTCACATGGATGACCGTTGGGCACGGGCATGCTGTGCCTGTGTGCTGTTTCTGCTCCACGCAGCTGGGACCCAGCTTGAGACTGCAGAGCCCTTCCTGTGAATACAGCAGTCTATTTTAACAGCACACCTGGAAAGCAGACTTAAAGTGTTTATCTTCCCAGCATAAGACAGGAATGGCTGGATGGTTCAGACTCTTCCTGTGTGTGACTTCTTGCCCGGTAAGCTGAGCAGGCATCTTCATGCCAGAGCCCAGTCCTGTGTCTTTAGCAGTTCCACACTGGTGCTCCCTTCCATGCAATCGAAGCAGAAGAGACTGCTCGATTGCAGTAATAACTGGGATTCTTGAGTTTTCACTCTTATTTCTCAGCATCCTACAACTGTGCCCCAGTGTTGTGCTGCAAAATCTTTCCATCTGTGGTAACCCATGCTAGACCTTCCTCTACACCCAGCTGCTGGCATACATTTACGAGCGTAAACTTTTCTGATTGGTATATGCATCTATTACTTTGCTGCAACCTGGAAACACTGGGCAGCATTCAATCCTGCCCATCAGCTCATGGGCCCACTTATTTTCCACCCACAGCAAGTCCCATAAATTCCGTTGTACAGGTGGGCCCTGCTGCTTTCACAACAGTGAATTAGCACTTCCAGGTACAAGCCCCAACTGACTGGAAACACTCATTCCTGTAAGGGGGCAGCTCAGCGGAGTTCCCTTACGTGAGCTCTGCCAAGCTGCACCCTTGCAGAAATGAGCATTTCTATTTGATCTCTAGAAGTGCTAAGCTGCTGTTGTGCAAGTGTGTGGGAACCATTTACAGAAAAAAATTGGTGGCACACAGTTGGATACTGGCCATATACAGCTTCATCTGTATCAGGTTGTGGACAGGAGATATTTGAAGCAAGGATTTAAAGAAGAGAAACTGGAAAAGGCAAACATTTATTTATTCAATTTATATCCTGCCTTTTTCCTACAAAGGGCTCAAGGCAGCTTACATCATTCTCCTCCTCCATCTTATCCCCACAACAACAACCCTGTGAGGTAGGTTGGGCTGAGAGTCTGTGACTGGCCCAGCCACCCAGTTGGCTCCATGGATGAGCGGGGACTAGAACCCAGATCGATTGAGTCCCAGTCCCATGCTCTTTAACCACTACACCACACTGGCTCTCTGTGAGGTAACAAAGGATTTATACAGTACTGGTTTCAGCCAAGATGCTGGAAGACAATGAAGAGATCCTAGTGAAATAGGATTCTATGCCACCCTTGGGTGCATAGCCAGAAATGTGGCATCTAGATTGAGAGAGGTATTACTACCACTCTGTACGACTCTGGTGCACCCGCAACTGGAGTACTGCGTCCAGTTCTGGGCTCCACATTACAGGAAGCGTATAGCCAGGTTGGAATCAGTGCAGCGTAGTGCCACACCAAATTGTAGAGGAAGTTGTATGAGGTGAGACTGAGGGAACTGGATCTTTTCAGCCTGGAGAAGAGGAGATTCTGAGGGGATCTGTTGGCAACATACAGGTACGGGGGGTGGGGGGGCATCACACAGAGGTGGGTCAAGACCTGTTTTCCCCTGCGGGGGACGGCAGGGTGCGTCCCAACGGAGCAAACCTCAGGGAACCAAGGTTCAATTTGGATGCCAGAAAGTACTTCCTGACAGTTAGGATCCCTAGTGTATGGAATGGGCTTCCCCGGGAGGTGGTTGAAGCCCCATCGGTGAGGGCATTCAAGGATAGGCTGAACATGCATATGGTAGTCATGTCATGAGCCGAGTGGGGAGTCAGACTAGATGGCCCAGGAGACCCCTTCTCACTTGCTCTGTTTCTGTTTAAATGTCAGGGTGTCCAGTTGCAATAAAAAGCCAGGGCCCCTGTACCTGTATTCACTATAGAGGAAAAGATTTTATTAAAAGTAATGCTGAAGGTCAGAAATACCTGATTTGGTCTGTAAATGCTCAGCTATATTAAATGTACTTCCCAAAATTTTTTTCTTCAATTCAGAATGTAACACTGAGTATCTCTGTCTTTGCACTGTGTGTTTGGTGGATCAGATGCACTAACGCAGCTGCTCTACAAGCTGAAGTACAAGCTTGGTTGCATTAAGGATGAAAAACAGCCTTCCACAATGTGGTGCTTTCTGAATGGGTTGGACTGCAACTTTCATAATCCTGTAGCCAGCTATTGTTCCATCTGGATGGCACCAGGTTCTGGTTAAAGCCCCTTACCTTTTCCAATTGACTTGCAAATCAGATTTTATTTGATTTACTGGGTTTATTTGCTTGGCCACTGTGAGAGCTAAATGCTAGGCTAGATACAACTTTAGTTTGATTCAGCAGGACTCCTGAGCTGATGAGTTTGTACATTTCAGTTAAATGCAGGTTATGTCAGTCATGAAAAAGCCCTGCTTCAGTTTGTATAGTTCTTTACATATGTACATCTCAAATGGAAACATTTTTGGCATTTCTTTTTCAGTGCTGTAGTGGTTCTGCTTTGGAAAAATTGGCAAAGTTACTCTTTCTGCTTGGTTTACTTCTCTCTGCTCTCTTTAATTTATGTGTCCAAGTGCTTCGCCGTGCCAGCTTAACTGGAATCTGTGGAATGGTTCCACTTGATCCCATCAAAGCCTGTGCAGTGGCGTTACTTGGGCAGGGAGAGTGAAAGCAAGGCAGTGCTAGGGATAAATATAGCGAGTAACTGATATGCATTTGGAAGAAGACTCTGCAACATTCATGCACTCTAGGCTTAGGCACCTAACCTTAACCCAAGCAGCCAAACAGTGGCTAAAGACATGGACAGGATTGTAGTCGTCTTGTTCCAAAATACAGAAACCCAACACACAATCGTGTATGGTGAGGACAAAGGTAAACATGGCTGGGTTCTTCCAGCGAGGTACTTACCCTAATATAGTTTGGATTTTACTATTGGAAGGTTCAATTTTTGCTGCCAAATATGAGCTGCTAAAAATGAAACAGAGCAACAAGGCAATCCTCCATGTCTACTTACACAGAGGCTCCATTACATTTAATGCAACCCTCCCCGTTAGTAGATGGCGATCGTGTTTGCACTCATCTGGGCAGAGGCTTCACTGCACTCAGACTGACTGCAGAGACTGCATGCATAAGAGTACACTGTAAATTCTCTCTGACTCTTCTGGCTAAAGAGAATGATACAGTCCATGCGTCAGGAGCAAAGCAAGGTATAAATATAGCACTGCCAGACTCTTGGCTGGAGGCAACACGCCCAGTGAGCTTTCATTTCTACTGCTCCACAGGAATGTTCTTTTTTTGGAACTATTTGTGGTATCACTAGAAAGGGAGAACCTCAAAACCTACAAAGAACCGCAAATTCTCTACTTTCAGTAGTTTATGCCTAGAAGTGTGAGGGACTCCAGGCCTAGATGGCCCACATGCAGAATTCAAGTGGAAGATAAGCAGCAGGGCCAGCTGTATGGCTAGGCGGAGTAGGGCAGCTGATCTGGGATGTTACCAATGGGTATTCTTTCTCGGGAGGTGCTTTTGGGACTTTCTGCTTCCAATGCCAAAATAACGAGGGGCATTTGGGAACCCTGTACTTTGTGGGAGGTGCGGACAAGATAGAACAAGAGGGCTGACACCATGGGGTGGCAGGGTTGGGCACCTGCCCGGGGCCCACTCCCCAGCTGGGGCTCGCTAGTACGAGCTTCACAGCCTGTGCCGCCTCCTCAGCCTTGCAACCGGCTTGTTCAGCCACCTCTCATTCTGGCCCAGCCAGCCTGGTGGTGGAAAGGAAGAGCAGCAGCGTCCACTGCCTGCCTGCTCGCGTTCTGCCAGCAAGCCAGCCAGTGGAAGGGCAGGGATGCCAAAGGGCACGAGGAGCGATCACAGCTCCTGGCAGCTGTGATGGGAAGGCAGCCTCACTGAGCACGGAGGGTCCCACTGAGAGTGTCTTTGCCAAGGGCCCTCCACAACTAATTTGCTGTTTGGCTTATTGAGCAACATGTCTTGGGCTGACCCAGCAGCATATGGGAGCAGGCAATGAGAGCACCTGACGCACCAGTAGAAGACTGACAGCTCGAGAGGTTAGAGGGTAAGTTAGCAGGAGCTGAAACAGGCCTAATATTAGGCAGAAGCCTAATTCTCTTGGAGGTGGGGAGCAGAGTAGGGAGACTGCGCTACTTCAGACTTGCAGGGACAAGTACTACACAAAGACTCTTCCCTCTAGAAAGCTGGGAAAAGCTGGAATCCTGTTCGGGAAGTACGGCTCCAGCCTGTCTTCCTCCCACTCACTGGGTTTGCATGTGCAGAACGTTTTCCCTACTTATGTGGCCAAACACTCCCTTACATAAGCCCCCCTGCCTACCTATAGCCCAAGGCAGTTTTACTAATCCAGTGAGAGTTAGGCTAAGTGTGCTGATTGCTTCAGGTGATAGATCTTTTTTGAGGAGGGGCAATATTAAAGGTTAGGCAAATGGTCAGTTACAGAGTACCCTATTCTCAGAGAGTGGGTTAGTTTTGTTTTGCATTGTTTAATTTTGTTTTTGGCCACAGGGAGAGGGCACTGCTTGCCTTTTCCACCCCTGAAACCAACAACAGTTAATACAGGCAGGTTAGGCTCAGGAAACCAAAAGACCCAGTGGTTGGAATCATATTTACCATTCTGTGTAGGATGCCAAAGTTGTTGGGTACTACATGTCAGCTTCTAATGTTAGGAATCAAAACTCCCTATGCAGCAACTCTGTCTTTTCTCCTTAACAGATTTTCGGTGGATTTTTTTTAATGGACAAAACAGAGGAAAACAACTTTGGCTGGACCACATGTGAAATTCTGTCACTGAGCAGGGCAATTGCACAATAAAAGTGTTGACTGGCACCCACTATTTGTGGCATGGAATGCCTGTTTGCAGGCCACAAGTTTATGAGCTCACTTTCTGGGGAGATGTCAGTTCCCTTTTCCATCTGCTTGTGGACCAAAAAAATTAAGTTGCCTCTGTGTTTACTGGCTTCAGCTCCTTTAGAAAAAGACTAAATAAATCATACCTAATTGAAAATCAGCTCTTACAATCTATTCAAAATGCTTTTGGTTTTAATGTTTTAAAGATCCTGCAAGAAATCCACTAACAGTGCAATCCTTCCCTTCTGTGCTTGTCATGTTGCCCTCTTGTGGCCAATGCTGAGAGTCGGATTTGATGCTCAGGTCAACACTGCCACAAATGTACAACCTCTGTTGGGCTGGCAGGAGGGCCAGGAAACATGCCTTCACAGGTCATGGGAAAAAAGAAAACTCTGCTGCCTTTTATGTGTCAGTGATGTGGACGCATACAAACATCCCTGTCAGGATTTCCTGTCTCTGCAGAAACACCTGCATGTTATTTCTGGACAAACGCTTCTTGCTTGCAAGTCCATCGTTGTCACTGAAGTGACAGGCTCTGAAAAGATCCTGGGCACTGGCCCTCAGGACCAAAAAAAAAAAAAAAAGGAAGTATATGCAAAATCTCCTATGCTCTACAGTCTGCATATATATCTTTAGAAGACCCTTTTTTTGTAACAAGGGATATACAAGTCAGGGGAGAGAGATCAGAGATGGAGGAAAGAAACCTCAGGCAGAACAATTTGGGACAGGGTGTGTGTGTGTGGGGGGGGGATGCACCTGATCCAGAGGAATCAGATGCAACAGGGACAATCAGGGCCTCTGTTTCCATAAATGCCTGGGGATAGCCAAGTGAAGGGACAGATGGCATTCCAATGATTTGAATCTCCAGCTCTAGTGGGCCACACCCCAACTCTACCTCTGGTGAGTCAAAACTAAATTCTCTGGGCCAGAGGGAGGAATTCCTTCCAATCTGTCATGCCAGTCCTGGTGGGGCGCAAGCTCACTTCATTGTCCACCAGAACTTTTAAAGTAGTATGGAACAACTGCCAGATAGGAATGATGCAACCATCACCCTGCCCAATATGTGCAATTCTATCACTGTCACATTGGCAAAATTCAGTGTAGTTGAAGCCTTTTACGCAGAATCATTGGCCTTAGTTGACATGCAGACAACTCTTTAATTAAGGGCATGCTCCCATGTAACTTTAGAAAAAAGGCTTACTGCTCCAGCACGTCCCCGCCATCACTTAGCCAAGGCTTAAATCGTGCCAGGTTTAGGGCCTTGGCTTTTCACACCACGGATGCCCCCCAGAATTTGTGCACAGGAGACTCAGAGTGTGCGCAGGGCGCGTCTCCCTCATCAACAAACTTTCTCCTTTCTCACTCGCAATGAAATGGTCGAGTTTCCACCCAGACCCTGCACCAGTCCTGCACGCAAGCAACGAAAGTCCTCCGGCGCTTAATTTCCTTTAGTTAAAGCAAAAGAGCTGGAATCTAAATATTGTCCAGCGGGCCGGAGTCACGGGATCTCAATTGAAAAGAAGGGTATTTGGGTTCTTGCTCTGGAGCGAGGCAGGGAAGCCTCACCGGGCCCACAAACGGTATCTCTCCGCTTCTCTGGACGGGAGAAAAAAACGTGAGATAACACGGGGAGATCGTGGCTCCCAAAAGTGCTTCCCCGGTTCCCAAGGAAGGCATAGCGCTGTCGGAACGGGCTGCAAACGCCAGGCGCTCAGGTATGCAGAGGGGACAGGTTGATGCATTGCCCCTTCCGACCCTCGCTAAGCATTGTGAATGCCCCTCCCCACCGTCCGGTAGGTGGAGCGCCAGAGCCCAATCCCGTTTCCTGACTCTTAGTACGCGGGAAGAGGTGGAGACATTAAGAAGGACTTTCAGGGCAAAGCGCAAGCACGACTGCGGGTTGCCACGCAGAAACAGGCGCTGGCGCTTGCCGGCCGTCGCGTTAGTGCTAGTAAAGGAACGCATTTGAAGTCCACCCAATTCCAGTGACTTAAACAAGTGTAAACAGAGCAAGGCACCAGAATGGCCGAGTGGTTAAGGCGTTGGACTTAAGATCCAATAGACGTATGTCTGCGTGGGTTCGAACCCCACTTCTGGTACGGAGCGTTTTCTTCCGCAGGACTGCGCTCCTAAAAGTCACCTCTGTTATTAAAGTCAACCCAGATGCAACGAGCCAGAGACGATCGTTTCGCACTCCCCAGTAATTAGCTGGAAATTTTATGCTAACCATAAGATAAGTGCTATTTTAAGCGCCAGAGGAGCACCCTAGCGGTGTGGCTCTGTGGCGCAATGGATAGCGCCTTGGACTTCTAGTGCTGGGTAAGCGATTCAAAGGTTGTGGGTTCGAGTCCCACCAGAGTCAATCATTTTGTAGCTGGAACCAAAGTAGAATGGATCCCAGTGCTCCTTGCGGAGATTAGGTGAAGCAGGTTTTCTGCAGAAATATGCCAAGTCCTGCTGGATGATGTTTCCGAGTGGTTGCTGTGGGGCGGTATAAGTTCTCCATCCGGATCTAATACGTTGATGCTGTGCGTTGATCTTGATGCTGTGCGGTGCTATTTGAAAGTCCGATATGATCCCTCTCAGACCAGACTAAAGTTTAGATTATTCAGAATGGGAGGAATAAATAGCAGCTCTGCGTTATTCCCGTCAAAAGTGTGTGTACCCCCTCCGGGTGCTCATATGGTTTCGTAAGTAGGCAGGCAGGCAGCCTCAGTTTCTCCTTCATCCTTCCGTATTGGTGAAACGGCAGAGCCCCTCCCCGCGCTCCTCCAAAGCGAAGGGGTGGCGTGCAGCCACTTGAGACGGGTCAAAAATGCAGACATTTTGCCCCCCAAATTTCGACCCCGTCCCGCCCTTTGTGCCAACTCAACTGACGAAGAGACCTGGAGAACTCACAAGCTTGCGTTCTGTCGAGGGTTGTATATTGCTCCACTGTGTATTTTTGCGTTTTAATTTAAGCGAAGTACCTCGTAAAGAACAGCAGATGCTAGTGACCATTGCAGATGTAAGGAGGCATTTGAGCTAGAACTAGACAGACCGGGCTTATTATCGATTCCTTCCGGGGCAGCGAGTAGCTCTTAATCTCTTTTCAATGCGCGGACAATACACAGATAGTTTCCTGAACCCTCAACTGGTTAAGGCGCTGGATTTGCAACCTTGTTGGTTCAAACCCCACCAGATGCGTTAGATCTTAGTAAGAGGAATTCAGTAGCCCGTTTTTCTTCTAATTCTTCATCCCAGAGATAGCTGGAATGCCTTTCCAAGCCAATGTAGTTGCTACATCTGACCTCCCAGAGTTCCTTTGAAAATCTCGCGCCATGCTACCTATAAAATGAATGGCATTTTAAAAGCCAGAGTCCCAAGGACTGAGATTCTGTGTGCAATGGATAGGACACAAATTGCAAGGTTGCAGGTTCTATTCCCACTAGGAGCAGTCTAGAAAAGGGTGAGGGAAACCGTGTGCAATCTTAATTTATTTAGGTAAAACTGCACACCCCAAAGAAATTGTGCTGGGTTATTGCGGCTGTCCTTGAAATAAGGTAGCCCAAAGCACGGAGGCGCTCAGCTCACAAGGATGCCCGATTTTGCTAATGCCTGCCCTGCAGTGGTGAACCGGTGCAACTGGGCGAGCCCCCCTAACTGATACTTCAGCTTTCCAGATCTTAACAATAAGGGATGGGGAGGAGAATGCAGCGCTCGGGTTTCGCGTGATACTGCCTTATATCGCTACTGCGGTGTGCAAGCTCTCCATCCGAGGCGAGGCTCAAACCAGCACGGCGAGTTTGCTCCTGGATCGCCGCTCCTTGCGTCTGATGCCTTCAGCGGAAGTGTAACGTTGCGCCAGTGCAGGGGAGACTGAGCGGGACGGTTTGGCGCACGGCAGCTGCTCTGAGCCCTTCTGGTTCGGCGCTTTAGGACTGCTCGCTCGGCGGCTCAGCTGGCTTAAAGCCTTTCCAGACTAGGCTGCGCCTAGAGAATGGAGGCTCTCCAAGGCAAGGTCCAGAAGGTTTGTTTGTTCCATTTTCATACCGCCCAATAGCCGAGGCTCTCTGGGCGTATAGCAGGTCACCACCTGTAGACACGTGTTGTGCATCTAGCTAGTAACCTCTGAGAGAAACATACTCCGTCGTTGCGTTGTTTCCATAAAGTGTCACGTAAAGAACTTGCTATTTTAAAATGGACCGTGCTGGACCTGTTTGTGTTCTCTGTTTTATTATCAGTTTCATGGAACATTTCAACTGCCCGAGTGTGCTTCATGGGTTATGCGGTTATGTAAAAAGGTGCTGGACTACTACTACCAACATTCCCAGACATGCTGGGAATTGTAGCTCAACACTTCTGGAAGGCACTAAGTTGGAGAAGGCCAAAAGCGTTGAGGTTTAATTTGTGTCTCGCATATCTTCTGAATCTCCATCTCTGCTGAATCTCTGAAACACCATTGCTGAGTCTGGGAAGGTGGACAATAACCTCTGCGTATGTGCAGAATCCTTCTCCCTCGCCACCCGGGCAGAGCTTCGATTTGCAGTACGGATACTACCGGAGACAGGAGGCTGTGCTGGGCGGACCGTCTCTCTGAGAGGAGAGGAGGGGGCCCTCCGCCAGCTTTCCCCTACATCCAGTGTCACCGCCCGGGGAACAGAGAAGACCACCCCAGAGCACGGAGAGGTCGCCTCGGTCCCAGAAAGGCCACGAGCCAAAACAGCAGCAGGTTTGCTCGCTCACGGGGCCTCTCCAAGGGCCTTGCGGGACCCGGACAGCGCAGCCGGGAAGCGTCGAAAGTTCCCGGCGTGCCAGCGCACGGGCGAGCTAAACTCTTCCACGTCCCGCCTCCGTTCGGTAGGCCGCGCCATTGGAAGCATCGGGGAACACGGAGCGGGATCCGGCGGCCTGGCTCTTACTGCGCGGGGCTGCCGGAGGGGCTCGGGAAGGAGAGGAGGCATTTCAAGGCAAAGCGCAAGCACCACCGCGGGTTGCCAGGAAGAAATACGCTCTAGCGCTGGCGCTGGGCGCCCGTTGCGTTAGTGCTGGTGAAGAAACGTGCAAGAGACATCCAGACTTGGGAACCCAATCTCAGTGAGCTGAAAAGGCCATGTCCAACGTGAGACACCAGAATGGCCGAGTGGTTAAGGCGTTGGACTTAAGATCCAATAGACGTATGTCTGCGTGGGTTCGAACCCCACTTCTGGTAGGGAGAGTTTTCTTCCGCAGTACTTTCGTCCCGAAACTTAAAAAGTGGTAACTGTGGTTATTATTAGAGCCCCTTTTGTATGGCTGCTCCAACTCTGTAGCTGTAATTCCAAGATGGAAGTATCTCCCTCCTTCGATCCCACTTATTTCAGATTTTTATGGTAACTCCATTTTAGGAATCAGAGAACAAGTTAGGGCTTTTGCCCCCCGTGGCAAAATGGGTAATGCTCTGGACTTCCTGGGTAATAGCATGATTCAAAAATTGCAAGTTCAAAGCCCCACTGGAATCAGTGCTTTTGAGATGAAAATAAAGTTACAGCTGATCCAAAAGCCTTTGAAGATGTTGGCGGACCTTGCCCAGATCAGAATATATGAGCACACTGGCAGCTTCACCTGAAAGTTCTGGTCCATTGGATAATTTGCTGCTGGGATGTAAAGGAGGCTTTGGGGAAAGCTGTGTATCTGCAAGGGCTCTCCAGGTTGTCAGAAGGAATTTTTCCGACTACCCAGAGATGCCAGGACCTGGGATTTCTGCTTGCAAAGCAGATGTTCTACTGTGGAGTTGTGGCCCTCTGATCCAGTAGAACTTTTCCACTGGCTGAATCGAGAGTATGTGGCAATCGTTGCTGATTTCTCCATCCTCTGCCTCCCCTAGATCAGGGTCCCAGGTTGCTCTAGAGCAGGGGTCTCAAACTCGCGGCCCGCGGGCCAATTGCCGGGACGGGCGGGGCACGGGGGAGGGGCCCTGCGGCCTTTAAAGCGCAGGTGGCGCCCGGGCCGGCCTCCGGATGAGCGGCCCACCCCCACTGCAGTGGTGGAATACTTGATGCGGCCCAGCCTCACCCAGACTCTACTTCCAGCGGTCCCCAGGTAAGTTGAGTTTGAGACCCCTGCTCTAGAGGGCCCCCATGAAGCTCCAAGGATTTTGAAGTGGGGATGGCAGGATGAGGACAAAGTCGGTGAAACTTGCCTCTTGTTCCATTCAGTCACGCCAAGGCTTCGCTGGATCAAAAACCACCTGCTGATGAAAAGAGCGCTTCAGTGTGTGCATGATTTTTCCTGGATTCATGCCAAGAAACATGATTCATGGTGGCTGGGTAGGGACATACGGAGTTTGTTAAATTTGTTCTGCCTTTATTTTGTGGATTGGCAGGCAGCTTTTCTTCTGTAGTCCGCTCATTGACACAACTGGATTTTTAAAAGAATGTACAAGAATTTAGTTTGACTTGGAGCAATGCGTATGAGGCTAAGTTTGCATTTGCACAAATCCCATTCCTCACCTCTCATGTTAAACACATACAGAGAGACACACACTGTGCAAAACGGCAGAATCCATGTAATGTGGAACAGGCCAGTTCCCTGAGAATCCACAAGTAAGAGTCTTAGAAATCTGAACTTGCTTTTTACCTATTTATCCACATCCCTATGGTTGGTGCTCATGTAGTACAAAAATCTGAAGAGACCCTAGTTAGGAAAGCTGTGCTATCCCTTGCAAAGCCATGTAAGCAGTGGGCACCTTGTAGAAGTGACTTCCTGACATGAATTCTGAATTCTGGGTAGTATTCCTTCCTTCCTTCTGTCCATCCAAGTTCAATAAGGAATCAGTCAGCCTCAGTTGCTTGGTCTACAGTGAGCTATCCAATGAATCCTTTGTCACCTGAATGAAAGTAGAAGCTCACAGAGAGCATTTGTGGAAGGAATTCTCTGCCTCTTGCCACTACTAGCATTTGCCATCTCCCACCAGAAGGCCTATACAGGTTGTCCATGAGGATATTAGTCTACAGGATGCATAATTTGCAGACAGCGGACATTTTTCTGCAGCTAATCCAGAGCCTGTGTGCAGGTGGATTAAGCTCTTTGAGCCAAGTTCTATCCTTCAGCAGGAGTAGGCAACTTTTGTCCCTTCAGGATTGTATAACCTACACCTCCCATCATTCCTCAGTTGAGTACACTGATTGGGACTGATAGGAGTTTTAAGCCAACACATTTCGAGAACCACAAGTTGCCCTCCCCTATTCAAAAGATACTGACAGTCACAGGACTTTCTATCCCTCTCAAATACCAAATGCTTTTCAACAGAGCACCTCTTCCTAGAACCTGCTCCATCCCCACTTTGCCTTGCTAACATTTTTTAACAGTTAAGGAAAAGAACTCGATACAGAAAGGGGAGGGCAACTCGATAAAGAAAGCAATGCAAAAAGTTGGCTTCATTCATTTTATATTAGAAGGTAAGTTTCACTGGAGCAGAGTTTTCATTGCTT